TGCGAAGAAAGCATTCATCGAACTCCACCTTTGTCCACCACTGATACACTGATTGATTTCTTGAACAATCCTTCTTTTTAAAAAGCCATATGCGACAAATTCTCGACTTATGCTAAGGGTTTTAAATAAAGTTGAGAAGATAATCATCTTTTAGCAACTCTTAAAGTAGTAACATCAATCTTTAAGGTTTAAAGAAGAGATGCTTATCTATCTCCTTTTTTTTGTTTTTTATCTTAATGCTTTTCTTTTTATATTTTATGCTTTATGATTTTATATTTATTTTGAATCCGTGTACCGCAACCTTTTCTGGCTTTCCAAAGAGGAGAATGTTGGGTTATGGAAATCAACGATTCTTTTGCAAAATGCGATACACAAAAGCATAAAAAGTAGTGCTCTTTTGATGAATCTCAGTGAAGATTTTACTTTTTTTCTTCACAAATAGAAAAAGTTGCTTCCCCAGTTTGCACAAACCTTACGTTATGGATCATTGTTTTAACTACTAACGTATGCAGTCCAATATATAATCGAAAAACTGTTCATCAGATAGTTTATGAACAAAATTTTGCATCCTTCAAGTATAAATATATCAAATAATAGACATAATTTATAGCTAGCTAGTGGCTTAATTTAACTTGCTCTTTCTTTCTTTGTTTTTTTTTTTTAGCTGCCTCTTCGCTTCACATTAATTCTATTAAATCCGGGCCATCAAATTCCTAAGTGCATATCGATCAATGGAATTCAAAACGAGATGTTTAGTGAAACCCAGAGTTCGTATGAGGAAAAAAAAAAAACAGGGAGAGAGAGAGAGAGAGAGAATAGAAGTTCTTCACTTATGCTATGAAATATGTGCTCGGTGGTATTCGATTAATGAACCGGCTGTTAAATAATACTAATAATAAAGTTTGCTTAATGTGAGAGATTTAAAAGCAGCAATTAGGAATAAAGTGAAAAGGCGTTCGGTATGATTAGCCCTTCGCTGTTTGAAGTCTAAATTATTACTTAATCCAGACAGAGCCGCTGGTAGATTCCTGATTATAGACTTTACAGCATCTTGGATGATGGATGGCAGGTGTAAGAAGAGAATAACTCTGTACATATTCCAGCCATCGTTTCCGTAACAGCCGACGTTAATTTCATAAATAATATAGTAAACGGATAAACATAGCCATTGATCTATATTTAATTAGTGATCCGTTTGAGTAATCTTATTTATTTCAAATCAACCACGGCAGAGACAAGAGCCAATTAATAACAGGAGTTATAATGCATATAATGCGGTTTTAGAAATTAAACTGCTTTAGTAGGTAGGATTGAAAATATTTTGTTTTGAGCATGTATGGGGTCAAGCATGATTGATTCGGCATTCCTCGTACAATGCACTTGTACATGTGTGTGAATGCGTTCGAATCTCATTTTCCTTTGTATTGTGATTTTCTTCCTAATTGTGCAAAAACCAAAAAAAAGAAAAGAAAAGAAACAAACTGAACTAAACAAATATAAATCCTGGTCATTTCCAATGGAATTATTGGAGGGGTTATTTTATGAAAATACTTTTATTTGAATTACTGATTGCATAAAAAATAATGACAAACGATAGGCATTAGTTGGTGATATTCTACAATAACGAAACTGGATCTCATGATCTGATATATATATATATATATATATATATAGTGCTAAGTAAAATGATGAAGGTTCTTGTAAAAAATAATGAAAGTTGAAGCAAACAAATGGTAATTAATAAGTTATAATTATCCATAATTATAACTAATTTGTCGCAATCACGAAAATATTATGTACATGGGCACACACGTATTTTTCTAGGTATTGTATGATATAAAATAAGTTATATTATTCATAAGAAAAGAATAATGTGGTTTCATACAATACAGGAAAACGCGTCTGGCTAGTTTTGAAGAATTATTCAAAAGAAATTGATCATCAGCAAGTTAAACAAGATTTCCTTTTTTAACAAAATGATGAATATATATATATATATAAAAGAAACTTTCAAGTCCCATCATTTTCAGGAAAGAAAACATTTCAACGAAACAAACAAAATATTAGGGAAACATTACAAGCTTCATATATATACGAATCTTGAATCGCCTATCCAATTTAAGATTTTCGTTCAACGTGTTGCTTACTAAAGCGGAAACTATCTTTTCATGAAGTATTACCCTCTTCTAACTTTCTGAGGCACGAAATGTCTCTACTTAACCCAACTCGGAAGCATTCTCTCTCCTTGGTAGTGTTTTTCTTTTCTCACTACCATATACTTATTTGATTCACACCCAGATAAACCATAAGTGGTGGGCCCCAAGCTCCGCGTTGAAAAGATTGGAGATATTATATATAAAGTTATTGTTTTCTGTGTAGGAAACTAATAACGCGTATCATGATGGGGCGACCCCCGACTTCGCATTTTTTTGGACAAATGGAGGAATAATTTGTAGTTGTAATGTATAGAAGAATTAATCATCAAGTAATAATTGCCCATCACGGTAGAGTTTTTAGTAAGCCTCGATAAGTCCACTCTCGCAGTATCACAACAAAATGCTGTTCCATTTTTTCAGATAATATTTTATATACTGGATGTTTGTAATTGAACAATAAATACTAAACATGTCAAAGACGCTGAGTCTCAATAGATAACAAAAAAGGTTTCAAGTTCTCCTACCACATTTCATTTGAATGTAAAAAGATAGAAGGCTTTGGTAAAACAAGTGTGTAATTTAATTAAGGTGTAAAAAATTACAGACTAAAAACTAAGAACTGAAAAAGTGCTAATGAATATAAAATATACGAGTCTTGATCGTGTGTTGATTATATTTTTCTATTTTTCTTCTTTTATTTATAGTGTCGAATAGCAAAAGCTTTTCTTTGAGACTTAGCACGTTCTACTGAAAAATCAAGAATTCTATGAAATTTATGGCACGGTTTCTCTATTTTGATAACCAGCTCGTTTCACTGAACTACTTGGACATAGATTTCGGCATTAATTAGGATCGTGTCTTTGTGTCAACAGTCTGATATTTGAAGCTGATGGATTTCGACATGTTTATTTATTGTGGACTTTATTGAGTTTCGGGGCCAGCCTCTTTTATCTATATTGGGCCTAATGCTTCGACTACTCAGCCCAGTTAGTTTCGTAACTTATTTAAGTGACATTTTATATTCAGCTTAAACACTGGGATAAAATGAAGAATTGATCGAAGGGTTCAATTACTAATTACGTTCAGTATCCTACATTATTGGGAGATTTCATTACCAAGTTATCGAAATAATTTTATTGGCAAATGTTATTGATAAGAAAATCTGTGTATGTGTGGGTGATCAAGAAAATCAATTAATGGTCCAAATTTGCCCTTATATTTTTTTTAAAAGTTCTGGGCCTTCTATATTTTGAAATGAGACAATGTTTTTTTTAAAGTATTTTTTCAAGGTCCAAAAATATCCTCCTATTAACATAGCATGAAATCCACTGTTATGTGCTGATGTGGCAATTTGTCGGGCCCACGTGGTTCTGACTTGGCTTTAAAGCTGGATAATCTGACTCTTTTGACCAGCTACTAATAGGACGCAATCGATGTTACAACACACAATGCCCAGCGCGCGCGCGCGCACACAAAGTTGTGAGGTCGACAATGATGAGTGAAGCAAAGAGTGAATTGAGGAGAAAAAGGAAGACCAGGAAAGACGATATTGGAACTGAAAGGAGTGGTGGAGTCTGGAAAATTAAATGCACTAAAAAGTTGAGACCAGGGACTGTGGAACCACTGTAGCAGAACCAGTGAATGACTGTAAGGGAACTAGGGAGGCCGGATTCTGAACTAGCGACGTGGACAAGTGAAGTAGTGAACCGGTGACAACATGATGCCGATATAAAGCACCTGACTTGCATATACCAAGTCAAGGAAAGAAAGGAGATGAGGTTAAAAATTTTAGAGTCATCGAGGTCATAGTCATACACACGGACACCGGAATCTCTGGCAGAAGAAAGGAGAAGGGACGTCGCGATCGGGCGCACACTAAGTAGTGAGCCTAGGTGAGGTCACATACTCACACTCAAGCAACAATGATGAGATGCACCAACTACTAGGAAGACGCCATCGAAGCCACAGTACACGGTGCCACACACAGAGAGAGTCATAGACGATGAAGTCGGAGGCTCAAAATATAAGGTCGACAACGATGAGTGAAGCAAATAGTGAATTGAGGAGATGAAGAAAGACTGGGAAGACAAGATTGGAACTAGAGAAGAGTGGTGGAGTCTAGACCTTTCTTCTATTGCTTGCCATTGACGATGAGGAAGATTTGGCCATTCCCGAGACCTTAAGTGGCTGCCATTGTAAATTGAGGGAGAAGCAAAGCAAGGAAGAAGATGAAGTAACGATGGAGATGATAAAGAAGAGAGAGACATATATCTAGTCAAATGGGTCAAACTAACCAGCTTTGAAGCCAAGTCAATACCACGCATGGGCTCCATGAGTTGCCACATCAGCACGTAATGGTGGATTTCACTCCAAGTTAATAGAAGGACAGGTTTGGACCTCGAAAAAATACTTTAAAAAAAAATTTGTTTCATTTAAGAGTATAGAATTTTTAACACTTCTAAAAAAATAAGTATAAAAATAAAATAAAATTTTAACCAATTAATTTAATTTAGGCATTATTGTTGTAAAACATGCATCATGGTGAACGACGTCTACTCTTCGATTTGCCTTTGTTTCGAGAACGTAATTTGTTTATGGAATTTTGGGGCTAAGTTACGATAATAAAATATAAACAGGTCATCACAGTGTTAAAAATAACCAATCTAACTTCTTTATCTCCGCAAATTCTGATCATTTACAGATTTCAAACTAGCATATTTAGATTTGCATTGGGATTAAGGCATCAAAGTCCTCTCTTGCTTATATATAAAGAAGTAGACACACATGTATATATAGATCAGCAGATAATTTGCTTTGCAAAGAAGCCAAAATCTATATCCATCGTACCCAAAAAAAGGTAAAAGTAATTAGATGGAATCTCCCCACAGTTCTATAGTAGTAGAGATGGGATGTAACAATTTAACCTTGGTAATATACATGTGATTCTACATAATTAATTTGAAGTACTGAAGCATGCCATGACATTTCACCTCCTACTAGCCCTAGGAAATCCAAGGATATGATGAAAACGAAGAGAATTGGGGAAAAAAAAAGGCTAAAAAATAGCAAGGAAAAAAAGGACGAGGAGGAAGAATGATTTTTGAAATACTTTTTGGCCTCATAATTCCTGAATTTTGAAGATTATACGTCTATCGACCAATTCAAGAAGGCCAATGTCATCCACTGACTTATCCTTTTCGCAGCCATCGTCATCATCAATGGAAATATTCAAATCCAGAGACACACGAGAGCTTGTCTCCTCCAAGCTAGCTGCTTCATTTTTCTCTTCACATGACTTCTGCTTAACTGGTGGAGAGCACGCTCTGGACCTCGAACTGAAACTTTCGCAGCTCAGAATTATGATAGCATCACTAAGCCTAACTTCTTCACCAGTCGTGCCCGTTATTCTTCCTCTCTCAATAACCCTTTTAAATGCCAATTGAGAACGATAATCAACTTGCTCTATATCTTCTACTAGAAAAACAGTATGAGGGTTACTAGAAACTGCGTCCGCGAATTTGTCAATATAACTGCAACTTTGTTCGTCTCTTGACCTCTTGTTTCTGCAATAATCCTCGGTCGAATCCGCTCTTATTGAAGAAAAACTGCTTAAGGTTAGCGAGACGAGGTTCCTGTGGGACCCAAACACAAGCCTAGCGAGTTCTCTGGCTATATTCTCTTTAGCTTCCACATCAGCTCCCTGGAATAACAACCACGTTTCTTCTTTCACTTCACTAACGTTTTTTACCCTCCCCTTTCGTTTCAACATGCCGGAACGGCATTGTAGAATTGTACTCACGATTGTCGGTATTACATCTTTCTGCCACGGCACTTTTCTCTGCAGACCTTCGCATAGGGTTTTGAGATTCTCCGAATTGAGCTCTCTGAACCTGCTCACGTACTCCGTTTCCATCACGTCACTGGAAGAGGTGGAGTTGGGATTCGATGGTAGAAATGTTTGTTTTATGTCCTTGTGCTCTGGGATGTAAATTTTCAAAGTGGGCTCGTTGGGCTTGTTAGAGTTAGCACTTGGTGATGAGAACCAGAAATTAGGGTGGTCAAAGGAAGTAGATGAAGAGGGTGATACAGAGGAGAATGTGAGGGTTTTCTCAGTAGAACAGGGTGGAATTTGGTTTGAGTTGCACGCGGAGTTCCACTTTTGACGAACCACTACACAATCCTGCTAGAAAAATAAGAAGTAAATAAGAAGTTAAAAATTTCATTTATCGAGTGCATACAGTTTATACAAAGAAGTTGAATGACATGTCGTTTTTAAGAGTGAGTTTGGGTTTAGGGATTAGGACCTGATCATCGGAAGTAACTCCTTTACTCTCGCTTTTGCACTGTTGGATGCGGGAAGGCTTGAAGTGCTGGAGTCACTATTGCAAGTGCTGCTCGGCAAGCTTCGAACTCGGATGTCGAAGATGACGGATGATGGCTCAGCCAAGCAATCCGGGCTCTTCTCCTTATCCCCTTCTGTTGATCGCCAACTGCTTCCGTTGTCAGTTTTCTTGGTGGGCTCATTTTGCAGACCACTGAAAAAAGAAAAGTGAAATTCAATTGATAACGAGATTACGATCAATCGGCAAGCCATCCAGAATAGTAACAAAGGAAAAAGAATTAAAAGAAACGACATCTGGGTGGAATAATATATTGAAGGATTCCAAATTGTTGGAAGAAAACAAAAGGCGAAACTTCTTTCTCTGTTGTTTCTAATCAGTGCGAAACAAGGCTATAATAATGGCAATCGTTACTCGTTTCAGTGTATTCATAAGCCAGTTGAAAAGGAGAGAACTTTTTCCCCATATCGCTTAATTAACCTAACTTCCAAAATAAAGGACGGTTCCTTTTTCTTTTCTCCTGTTTTCTTCATTGATTTGGAGAGAATCCTCTTGGAAATGGAAAGTAAAGCATGAATTAAAGCCGCACTACCATTTTATGACATCCTACTTCAATTTACCTACTGATTTACCTGTCGGCGATGAGACTCAAGCTCAAGTTTCCCACAGGTATGGTGAAAGGATGAAGACCCCAAACAGTCTGCAGCGAGGGATATCCATTTCTGCATCTCATGTAAGTCTGAAAAGTGGCTATGCCCATAACACAAAATCTTCCATTCTCTCCAATCCCACTTATAAGTCTTCCAATCTCAAGGATCATGTGCTCCACGGGACAGTAGTACCCTCGACCTTGCTGTCTCGATCCGGCCCTGTACTCAAACACCCAATTGATGTCTCCTACATACAAAATAAATCCTTTGCTATGACAGTTGCTTTTAGCGGAATTCCTAAGCTCCTCGATCTTGTTCTCAACCTGTACTCTGGACACATGCCCAAAAGCAGAAAGAGAGAGAGAAATGAACTTAACATCTCTCATACCCTCGTCGTCAACGTTCCCTTTCTCAACTTTCTCCATCACTCTTCTCACCACACCCTCTAGACTAGCCAGACACTCCCCAACAAGCACACTACTCCTCATTCTTTGATTCCTCAAATAATCTAAAACACCAGTAACATCCTCCTCTCTGACTGCCGAACCCGACCCCATGGTTTTCCCAACTTTCGTGGTTATGTTGTTATTAGTTTCGTTTTCCTTTGACTTGCCACTCGCAGAAGGCGAAGGGGCATTCTGGGAACATACTTCCAAAGACACCGCTTGTTCTACATTGCTTTTAACTTGAGTGCTGGAGAACCCGGCTTCCCTCATGACTCGGCTTACACTAGGATCATCCAGAATTGAAATTATGAGTTGTTCCAACTCTATCTTCACCGCAAGAAGAGGTTGCTGCTGATTCTCGATGGATCCTCGGCGCTGGTGGGCCTGGGCTCGCTTGAAGGCGGCGACCATAGCGTTGGAGATAGAAGGAGAGTGAGCCGGCGGGCCTAGCATGGGACTCGATGAATTGGAAGCCGGTAAGCGGTTGAGGGCGACGTTGAAGCAAAGCTCCAGGGCCTTGCACTGCAGAGGATGAGAGTGAGATTGCAAGCACGCCGTACGGAGGAGGCCGTTGGAAGCAGCGAGCATGGTGTTGGCCACGTGGAGCGGGGTGACCTGGGCATGGCCCCGACGCTTCGCCAGCGTCACTGCCTGCTTCACTACGGTAGCCGCCTCTGCGGTCAGCCCCTGTTGGACGGCGCAGCTTCCTGTTCTCATGTCTACAGGACTCCGAGAAGCGAGATCAAGGAAGTGGAGTCTGCATTAATTAGCTCTATATATTGGAGGCAGACTGGGGAAGAAGTTTCGTGAGGGTCGTAGTAAAGGATGATATATGGGAAAGAGGATTAGTATTACGTATGTGCAGGTACACCTTTCGAAGCCCACCACTAGCTACTCTAAATAACGAAGAAACTCACTAAACCCACGAAACTTTGTTTGTTTGTGGAGGGAGAGGGAGGGGAGGAGGACAGGGGAGGGGGAGTAGTGAAACTTATGGAAGGCGGATGGTGTGCTTTTCTTGAGGAGGAGGTAAAATTTGGGGTCCAAAGTTGATTTGGTTATAGAAAGTGGATTGCATGTGCTGACGAGCAGGACTAATTCACCAGTATCAAAGGAACTCAGCTTTGCTCTCACATAGTACCCCCTCTTACTCATACGCCAAATTTTGTCAAAAAAAAAAAGTTGAGGAAATGGCAAGTGGGGCACTTTCTTTTTATGCATACGCGTATATAAATACTATTATTTTGGTTGCATGAAGGAGGAGAAAAATCAAGCCACGCAAGGTGCTTGATTAAGCATCTTGAATTCAACACCAGCACATCCCCCTTACTTCAGTACCCATATTCTTAGTGCGGTCGTCTTCCAACAGTACACTATTGCAATCAAACTCGATTAAGGAACTTCAATATAATAATACTTTCGTTTGAATGACGAGGGGCCTCTCATTCCACATGACTTCATTCCTTGAGATAAATAAATAAATAGTGGAAGATTTAAAGTATTAACTTTAAATTATGGACTCTGCGGCTAATTATGCAGCCTAAAATTAAGAAGTGGATCAGTGAGCGAGATGGAGAGAAAATAGATTACGCTCCTATAGTATAAGACTAGAGAGGAGAAGTGTTGGAGAGAGAGAGAGAGAGAGAGAGAGGAAACATCTTTTTCACGGGGTGCCAAAAAACGAGGGCCTGAAAAGAAGGGACGGAGGGTTAAGAAGGAAGGAATGGGGATGTGTGTAGGATTTTCTTTTGGCCCAAAGACGAGGGAATAAAGCGTCACCCTTTGCCTTCCCTATTTTTATTTTATGCAAATTTCCAATATAAAACCTAACTTGGACGCCTTTTTTTAAGCCTCGCATGCATGGGATTCAGAGTTCAGACCAACATTCTCCTCTCATCACAATCCCACATTCTCCCCTCCCCCCTCCATTTATTACATAAAGTTGCCCTATTGTTTACCCTAACAAATCATTCTAAAAGGAAATATAAGAATAAAGATAAACAATACACAACGACCTCTGTAACTGTAAAAATATACATACAGACATAGTAGTTTCCAATTCAGTTGGATCTCAATATTGGCCCCGTGGAAAATTAGGATCGGAGATCAGCGCTTTTGGTGATACCACCAGGAGAATGGAAAATATGGAAGAATTTCAGCGAATCTTATGATTTTTTTCCTTATTTCCAAACTTTTGAGCCAACGTTCCTTATAGCCTATTCAAATTATCGAAAATGGAAATTTCACCGTAAAATTTGTGGGGAATGGAATGTGTTTCCAATGATTGAGATTTAATAACACTGTAGTACTCAATCTATTCAGTATCTACGAGAGGGCAAGCTGCGGGGTACTTTTCTTAAAATTTTATTTAATTTTACTATGACCCCCCATTAACGTAACTTTCAGTTTTGACCCCGTGCGAGTTGCTCTGGATCCATCTCTGAATTTTACTTCCACTAGTTTGGTTGATCGGCTGCAACATTGTTAGCATTGATCAACGTGCATTTCTGATCTCGATCTTCGTTGAAGAGTTTGCATTTTCCTGAATTTTAATACCCCATGATCTCTTTGCATGGAATTGCTAGCCACCAAATATTCTAGGTGGTCGTCACTAAACCCAAAAAATTGAAAGCACATAGCAGAAATTTTCTGCACGTGCGGTCCAGTTTACACTTAATCATTTCAAGCTTGACTATTGATTCCAACATGATTGACTTTAATTTCCTGAGCTGCATAACATTGTTCGACGCAGTAGTTTTATCCTATATGAACAGAAGGACCACCATGTAAAAGCAAGTTCACTAGCTAGCTGACTCCTAATTTACAAACAAATCCTACACAGATCTGTATATATCACAAAACTACTTTTTAAGCATCGACGTCCAAGGAGAGCAGAAAAAATAACAATTTCGTCATTCTATATATGAGACGATATGAAGTTAAGAGCATGATGCATTTAATAAATTACAAAAGAACAACAAAAGGGCAGTGTCAGCAAGTGCAAATGTATAGTTGAATACACACACACACAAGGGAAAGTGATGTGAAACAGAAAAGAGGAGAGAGGGAGAGGGAGAAAAGAGAAAGGAGGAGGGGGGAGAGAGAGAGAAAGAGAAGACCAAAACTCTCAAAAACTCTCATTCAATAATATTATTTAAAAATTAAATGTTAATGAAAAACTTGGCTTTACTTGTAGAGCTTTAAAACAATAATAATTTAAATTTAAATTCCAAATCCTAAATCTAAATATAATCTAAAGATACTGATATCTAAAATAATAATAAAATAAATAATTAAAACTAATATAATGGATTAATATCTTTATTTAAATATTCATATTGGATAACCCTAATATCCTAAATTAAATCTAATTATTTTTTATCCCATATTACAACATAAAGTCTATTGATTATGCATTTGATTCTTTATGGTCCTCCTGAGCTGTTACTAAAGACTGTAGTGTGTGGGCTAGGTATCTTAGATAGTTGTGTCCATTTTAGGTTTTGGGTGGAACACTTGAAAGTGTTGAGGAAAGGCATTGCATAGAAAGCAGAGAAGGGATAGCATCAGTCATCAGTGCTGCCCTTACATCAAGGCGTTCACCAAAAAGAAAGCTTAAAAATTCTATAAAGAAATGAGAGCATGTTTTCGATCACAGGGCATATCTCTCTCTTATTCCTCAATCATCTTCCACTTTTACTTGTTTTATACAGTGATCCATGACCTATCATGAATGCGTGCTCCAGTCGATTCTGATTTCAGCCACTGCACTGCGTGTCATTTCGCAAGAAAAAGCTGTGTAATCCAAAATATATACCGATCACGAACAAGACAACAAGAAAGAAAAGAGTGAATGATCGGACAATCATGGGAAACAGTGAGTCATACAAGGGGTAACCAGTGGACAAGCCCTCAAGGATATATAGAAACAGTTGAAGCCAATCCAATAATCGTTTCTGGAAACCGATCAGGTGATACATACATACATGCATACATATATATATATATATATATATATTTCGCCTCATAAATCCAACTTCGTCGCAGTGCAAGTAATTTGCGAGGCACGTGACAGGCATGAGACTTTACAATAACTCTGTGTTCTCGTAGGATACGATACTATTACTGTCCTTGGGCAAAAAAACAAAAACAAAAAACAAAAAAAAACAGGTAATCCAAAACTCGCAACCGTTTATTCTCTATGGGTGGGCGAGGATGGTAGTGGAGGTAACCAACGGAGCTTGCAGTCAAAAAGTCTCTTGTATCTTTGGCATAAAAAGACTTGCAAAGAGCACCAGATTATTTGAACACACAAAGCACTCTGTGCTGCGTTAGAAAAGCAGCGTTTGAATGAAAGAGAGGAATATGTACACTAACTTGCAACACACCCTAACTCAACACTTCTCTCCTCCCCACCAATAATGGTTAGCTTTATTTTTTTTTATTTTTCCTTTTTAAGGATAAATGTTTCATAATTAATAACCAACAAGAGAATGAAATGAAAAAGCTAGCCATCCTAACTGTTAAGAGCTATATATGTTTGGTTGGACGCCATGAGATTTGGAGAGCAAAGTGAAAGCAAGGACAGTCTTTTCTCTCCTTTCGCTATCAAGGTCTCTTGATTTTCCGGGAAACGCATTTCATTAGAACTCCGAGATTTAAAATAAATCGTCATCTTTTGGCTAAAGTAAAGCGCTGTATCATAAAGCAATATTAAAAGTAAAATATGGCATTATCTACTCAAAAGGGACGCTCATTTTTATGCTTTTGAGCCTTCAAATGAGCATCTTCGGCCTCTACGTGGCCATGTGGCTGAAAGCAATATCCAGCAGAGAGGCAAATGAAACGAGGGCAAAGAGTGGTAATGGAAAAAGATTAGTTAATAGTACAGGGCGGGATGGGCAGCTTTAAAGCTAGAATGGCATGTAAAAGTGACCCTAATTTTGACATGACAGCCTTGTTCGTGTAAAGCGATGGAATTACGTTCTCTTTTCCCAAAAGTTCCTCATTATATTATGATTCACATCATCGGTGCACCACACAAAATTGTTTTTCACTTATAACTTCAAAAGCAAACATCATTAAAAGTAAAACTGTGCAAGATGAATAAATTTTAGCATTTCATAGCATTGTAATTAAGTTGAAGTTATGCTAAAAAAATTCCATACTCAATTAAGAATGACAATCAGAACCCACAATACCAATAAAAGCGCCAATATATATATATATATATATATCATTCGTTGAAAGCGGTACTATTAGATGCCTTCTTTCTATATTTCTTGTGGATAGGATTAGAAATAGTTTTCTTAGCTTTCAAATTTATTGGTGAATGTGGTAAAGACGCACTAGATCTAAAGGATTATTGATCATTAAAACCTCCCACAACAATGATAGCATAATGTCACATCCCACTAGTTTTAGGAGGTTAAGAGAAATCAAGACATTCAAAAAAAATTTAGAATATTTCAAATTATTCTAGAAGCATCTAGAACAATGTAGAGGGATTGAGAAGGTTCTGCAAACTTATAAAAAGATGTAGAGATATCTAAAATATTCTGAGATATTCTATGATACTCTAGAATGTTTCAAACATGTCTTGAAATAATTTCTAAAAAAATTTATGTAAATATTTAGATATTTCTATAGAGGATTTTAGAGAAATAGTGATAACTATATATAAGATCAAATTAATTTTCACTATCCATTAAAGATGTGAGAACATTCTAGACACAAGAAGAGGTCTATAAATACTTTATCCCTCCTCATTTGTAATCATCTTTGAGTTCTTTTGATCCTTGAGTTCTCAAGCAATACAAGTCTCACATTCCCACGATTCTTCCAATCACCTTTTGCTCTCAAGATTTTAATTTCTCAATTTAGCCAAACATCCTCATTCTCAACAAATCAAAATGAAAAGTGTTTAAATACCGCATAGGTCAAAAGACTAGTTCCATGACAATAAGCTTCTAATAAAACATAGATCCTAAGAGAAGATGCGTAGACTCTCAACCCATCCAGCAGAATTCATCCAAGTTATGGATCATACCTTTATGGAAGTATAGAAGCATGAATTTTGAAATCTTTTACAAATACAAGTATACGTACATGAAATCAATAATGGTAACTTCATTTCAAATATGCTATCCAATCCGTATTGACTCGGCATGACATTTTTCTTTATACATGCATGAAAACAGACAGTTTTAAGGAAAACATGGGCAAGTAAAAACTGTGCTGATGAAATGGTTCAGCATAATTATCAAAATGAGTAATATCATGTTCCATGTCAATATTTAGTTGTCCCAGCAATAATGCTACCTCCTTTACTTGAAAGATATCCTGATTTGAACCCAGTGTTGATACATTTAAGCATTTGTGTCTCTCTTTCCTGTAGGAAAAGATTAGGTTAAAAGTAAAAAAAAAATTAAAAAAATATCGTGTACCAGTTTTCTTTCTTTTGTTTTTTTTTTTTTCAAGTTTCCTTTGCATTTACAGTTAACTGCAGACTAAATCAAAAAAAGCTTCGGGCCTTTGGCCAATAAAAACAATCAAAGAAAGCCGCCTTTTCTATTTCTGCACCCACATCTCCGGCAAAATTGTTTCCATATTTCTTACTCTGGTCTCTGCATTTCTACTAGAAGAGATACAGCATAAAAACGAGGCCATAGTAGAAAAGGATGAGAATTAAAAACTATGTTGATACGTGCAAAGAAAATACAACCTACAAAAAATGGTTGCTTGTAAATTCACCAGGAATGAAAATTAGAAGTAGAAATAGGTACTATGAGAAACCAGTAATTCAAATATCGCAACAAAAAAAAAATTACATGGGGTCAAAAATTAAATCTGTCTAAAGAATCTACAAGTCAGTGTGCCAAGAATACAACACAAGATACACACTTTTTAACTCTTTCATGCTTCACTAATCACCAGTTCTTTTGTTGTTAGTGTACGCAGATTACCATATCCACGCTAGTGAAATGAAAAGTCATCCAAAAGAGAGGGGGCAAGACAACCGGAAAAAAAAAAAAAAAAACCGGAGAAAAGATAGTATAAAAAAAAATCACTCATCATCTCAGCTTTAATCACCTCAGCTTTCTCCTAATCCAGAACCATTCTGAAGCACCGGGGTAAGCATAAATTCACCTCCACAAGATTCTAAATCACGGAGACCAAAGGTTCCTCAGCCGCTTGATCCAACAAATTGCAGTGGCTTGCTCCTTTTTTTCCCAAAAAAAAAAAAACGCACAAGGGAAGTCACAGACAGCAAGAACAAACCAACAAAAAAGGACCATTCAATGCTATATGATCAGAACATCATAGATAAATGAAAAACAGATTTAAATATTAGCTCATCTAAAGAATAAGAAAAGAACATTAGTAAATTCTTTTTTTCTTCAATATTCAATTATACAACTCTAAATTTGCAAAAGGATGCTCCAATTTTTTTAAATTTTGACAGATAGCAAAACAATTTGATAGACAACACGTGCACATGAAAGCTTTTTTACTTTAGACCTAGCGTCTTGTGCTCATATTGAAACCAAATCCATCTCAGCGAGCCATATTTGGACCTTGAGAAGCTAATAAGACATCCTACAAAAATACTACAACTACAATTAATGTGTCATTTGGGGAAAAAAAATGATGATACCTTCATGGCTTCACCATATCAACCATCCTCTGCCAAGAGAAAAGAAAGATGTTTCACTTCCATATGCTGCTCCTAACAAGTAATATGGGAAACAACTTCAACTACAAAATGAATCAGGCAAAAAGATACATCTCTTACAGAGACAACTGATTCAACTTGACAATGAAATTCGCTCTTCTGTATAAAAAGTAGACTAAAAACAAGGTGGAAATACCAACCTTTTGAAACAAAAATCCCAGCAGCAGTAAAGCAACTAATATTAGAACTGCACCTGCAATCAGCCAAACGAAAACAAAAACAGCTCTCATAATACTCTCCGTCTCTGCTCCTTTGAATAGAAGCACAACACATGACCATTATGATTCCCGCATCAACTAATTGTCAAGAAAAAGCTTTAGCATCATCAATGGCCATCAGATACATTCCCTTCGTTGAGACATTTATCTAAGATCCAAGATCAGGAAGGATAGTGGATAAAACCAGCAAATTCGTCGATTGCACGTCTTTCACCATCAATTTGAAGATGACAATGTAAGACATACAGGTATTGATTGCAGAATATGTATATAAATCCAACGCTGGGACAAAGAATATTTCACAAAGTGAGATCATCTTGTGGGGAAAAGAACTCTTTTACAACATGTATAGCAGTAACAGCTGGAATGCAAAAGTTCCCAACAAGTTTTAGTTTTCAATTTCCTTTCCTTTTCTATTGATATCTTGACTAGATTAACAACTAGATTCAAGTAAACATAGCCTCTAGCACAGACAAAAGTATCTAATTGATAGCAGAAATATCTTAATATTTGAACCTCGTCAGACAAGCACTACAAACCAGAGGCCTCATAATGAATTCATAGACTATGCCATCAGTAACTGTGGAACCAAAGATGATTTAGTGCAATATTTAAAACAATACTAAACAGAAGAATGCCCACCAGCAAGAACAGAACTACACCATTGTAGGTATCAAGAGTTCATGCATATAATATTGCTGTCTGAATCATCCTTTCCTCATTGTGAGCAAATCCAAGAGCCTCAGTATGCAAGGGAAAGGAAACTACCGCTGTGTCCTGCAGTTATGTAGAGATATGAAGAAAACCCTATAGGGCTTTTGTCAAATACTGTAGTAAAGGTAAAAGAAACCAAGGTCCTTGTAAATCATTCACAAACTATTATATAACTAAACAAAGATGATCTTATCAACCCCCCCCCCCGGGGGACATGATCATACATGGTAAATGGTTTCCTCAAATACACGAAGCAATCTAGGACACCATGTCATTTAACTCTAACCTGGCAACACTAGACACCAAGATAACAATTATACCAATAGTTTTAAGACATGGTACATCTAGTATATGCAAGGATAAAATATCTAGCCGTGTGTCCCATTCAAGATGAAAGGACAATGGGACAACATAGATTTAAGATGTGGTAGAAAACAACTATTACTTAAACTTACCTCCGTTAACCTTCACAAGAAGGTGAAGCGTGTCTTCAATAACAATAGCTCTGAATGACTGAGGCAGATATACGACAGAAAAGGAATGGTAACAAAGAAAGACATCGCATTAGATAAAATATGGGAAGACCAATAATGAGAGAAAATACACCAAAAATGCTACAGATGGAGAGAGACAATTTTTTTTTTGGGGGGGGGGGGAGATGAACAAAATACAACCTTTAAAAAGATGCTGAAGCCATGCCTCCCTCATCAATGATGCGGTTCATATTACCACTGCTGAAACAGTAATCATCAAGGACAAAGCCAAAGAAATAACACCGATTTTACCTCAGTAACAGTCCTAGGTGTAACCTTGTTTTCATGGTGATTGGAATACTTCACGCGGAAACCGTTTAACAATTAAAATGAGCAAATACATAAGTTGTATTAATTAGAAATCAAGGATTTGCCCGAACTATAAATTTATATTAAGAATTATCGTGAAGTAATGGCGTTTCAATTACATAAGTTGTATTAATTTTTTTTAGATACAAACAAATTTTTCTAGTGCTTGGTGTTCTATGAAGTATCCGAATAATTACAATTAGTCATGAGCATTCAGACTTTATCTAGATAAAACGACCACATTCAGAATATATGAAATTTGTCGAAGGGATATCAAACTAAGAAATGAAGGATATTGCCTATCACCATAATTGACTATTTCTCCTCATCACTATCTCCTGTAAAAGATGGGACTTGGGAGGTATACTATAAGTACATTTCCACTTAGTTATATGGGGCGCAGTGACCGACATAACTTTAATGACATTCTGCACTGTATAAGAGAACTGGTTGCCCCGTTATGCCCGTACGCAACTCACATGTCTGTAAACTCTTCCGAGTTAAGATCATACAACAGATGATTTGTTTTGTTTAAGAAAACAGGTCAGAGCAACAGAGACAGCAGACCTACAGACTTAAATTATCACAACCAATCAGGCTTGAACTTAATGTTAAGCTAACTATATACTATGTGGGTATTGGTCACGAAGAATGGGTTTTGGAGATTCTTGACTTTGAATATGAAAAATTGCAATTTCCACTATGCCCTGTTGAACCAAAATTGCAGGAAGAATCAAATGGGCAATGGATGTTGTAAGGAAACATTACTTGAAGGGCTAAACGGTGAACGAGAGCGATGGATGGATCACCAGAAAGGAGGCAGAATGAAGCGATCTCTTTCTTTTTTTGTTTCTGGTGGCTATTGAGGTTTTTGCCGTCTCGCCAAATGCATCCGACGGGCGTTTCTGTCTCGCCGATCCCTTCCTTTAATTTTAACTTTTTTTATTAAATTAAGCTGCTCAATATTGGGAGGGAAAAAAAAGCTACTCCTTGAAATGTAAGTGTTGTGTTGTGTTCGACTTGTGAGGACTGAGAACCATCAGAATGCGATTAAAAAAGTGAAGCTTTGGACAACCAGTTGACATTAGGGGTGGGCATTAGTCGGTTCGATTCGGTTCGGTTTTAAAATATGTAGAACGATCAATCGAATAATACTGAAAATGAAAACCGAATCAAACCGAATAACCGAACAAAGACTGAACCAAATTTGATAATTCGGTTCGGTCGGTTAATTCGGTTTTTCGGTTTCATATTTGGCTATTAAAATTGAGCCCATTTTTTAAATATTAAAACAAACAACACTATAAAATTGGGCCTTATTTTCTATTCGTTTTTTTAATATGAGCCCATTCTAATTACACCCATATGACATAAAGTCCAAATATTATAAAGGCATGGATAATCAAATAAACAATCACAAATAAACATCGATGATCAAATAATGACCCCATAATCCAGTCACAACACCTACTGATGAGAGTGACTGATTGAAATAGGGTTTCAAGTGATATTATTATTTTTTATTTTTATTAAAATAAAAAATAAAAATAAAAATAAAATAATTTATAAATTAATAAATTATATGTAATTTGGTCGGTTCGGTCTATTCGATTTTAAATTTTACTAACCGAATCGAACCGATCAACCGATATATTTAAAATAAAAAAATCAAATCAAACCGAAAAATTAAATAGACCGAATCAAACAGATAAAATTCAATTCGATTCGATTTGATTTTCTGTTTCGGTTCGGTTTTGCTCACCCCTAGTTGACATCAGTTAAAAATCATTTTTTTCCAAAAAATAAAATGTGTATGTGACCAAAAATTATATTATCCAGTGTTTTTATTTATTTTTGTCCATTTTTCTTTACTTTATACGTATTTAATGATTTATTGATAATTTTAGTTGTTTAATCGACTGCAATATAATAGACTTTTAGAGTGTTGAACAATTCATATGTGCTTCTTTTATTTGAGACCGCTTATTAGGAGAACAAACGACAATTGATTAATTAAATTAGTAAGAATCTAATCTAGGCAAACTAAGAAAAAATTTACATATTTTTTGGGGGACATAGTTTTAATCAAATGGAGACGCGAGAGAACGGATAGGAGAAAAGGCATGAAAATTTTAATTGCCACATATGAATTTTTTTTAGGCATTGCTGACAAGTTTTATAATAAAAGTCATGTCATATTATACACGACTCACATAAACTTTGAGTCATGTAAGTATAATTTTTTAATTTTTAAAACTTTACAATGAACCTTCTCAACTCTTATATTTATGTAAAAAATTTTATATGATTAATCTTATATATTGATTATCTAAGTATAATTTAAAGTTTGGGAATTATTCACATATCAATTAAAGTCAGGGGCTTAAATACACACAAAAATAAAGTTTAGGGGATATATAATTAATGATTAAGGATTATTTGTAAAAATTTAAAAGTTTAAAGTTTATTATTAGGTTTTTAATATTAAAGGGTTATTTTTATAAAGTTCAAAATTTAAGGGAGTGTAATTTAGCCTAAAAATTATAACAGTGAATTTTTCTTACCTTGATGCTTCATTCTAATTTTAATTTTATGTTCCTTTATAATAAATATTAACAGTTTTAAATCCATCTCTCTAATTTTACCTAATTTAGATAGTGTGTGTGTGAAATAATAATATGTATAAATCACGTCTGAAATATTTTTAGTTGTCATGTATACTCTTCATGTTATATTATATTAATTTAATTAAAGTCAGTCCAATCACAGTCTCAATGCTAAACTTTAAACAAGCCAAGATTAAATGCCTTTTTGAATTCAGTTTACATCTAATAAAAATATATTTAAAAAATTTTAACTATTTTTTAAATTTAATAAAAATACCTTTTAAATATAATTTAAATATATTTTTAAAAGTTATCCAAACAACTCCTGAAATTTTTTAAATTTGATAAAAATACCTTTTAAATAGAATTTGAATATAATTTTAAAAATTATCCAAACATCTCCTGAATCTTGGATGTGGGAAGACATTGAAAACAATGATGTGCCAGATTGCTAAGCTGTTGACAATGACAGTAAGACTGGAACGTGAGGAATAAATTTGGTATATTATTCATGACTGGTAAATTAAATAATCTGACATGATCTTAATATTTTATATTAAATGATGAGACTTTGGAAGGAGAAAAAAAGTTTTTTTTTCCGAATTCATTTATAATTTTTTTATAGAAAGAATTAAAAAAGATTACAAAGAAAAGGAGGACAGAGATAAATATGTTGACCAAAATGTTGAAAAAGACCAAATGGGCAAAGGCGTTATGAGCATCTGGTATAGGCTTATCTGGCGATGAAGAGGATGAGCATAACTGCATCCGTGGATTGAAGGAGTCCGACAAAGTGTGATTAACATGTCTGACAGTCTGAGGTGGTTGAGCAGTCAAGTTCAACCGTACCATGGAAAAAAAAGTGGTTGGTCCCCGTTCCAGTCCTTCCACGAAAGTTGTTCAACTGACAAATTTAAGTAAATTTGTGACGGGAGTGTGAATTTCAATCGTTTAGTCGAATCGTAAATTTATAAAAATTTATCTCAATTAATAAATAATTATTAAAATTTAATGAAAAAATTAGTTCAATGACCTTAAAAAATATAACTCTCATAAATTATAAATGAGGTTTTTAAATATTTTTAAACATGACCCATTCATAAAATTAATCAGATGTGTTTTCCTTTTGTATCCTCAGGATAAATTTATGATTAAAATATAATATATTTGATTTAACTAAGTTTTAGCTAATTAAATCTTTTATTTTTATTATAAAAAATTATATTGTGCATGCTCTCTCTCTGATTTATCATCTCTGAATATTTTTTTTATTAGATTTTTGGATCTGATTTTTTTGGATCATTATATTCATCTCTCGTATAATGCTTTTCTTCATTAAAATTTTTGATTTAATTTTTCTAAATCACCATCTTCATCATAGAGTTTTTCCTCTCTTTCCATCTCTATTCTTCCCCAGATATTACGAAGAGGACATTAGACATTAAAAAGAAAACTCCATTACTGATTTGTGATATTATATCATTGATATACGCCTGTACATAAATGATAAATAAATTGATAAATTTTTACGGATATAGCTTATATATTAGTAATATATAATAGTATATTATTAATATACTATCGTAGATCAATATAACCAAACAATCAAACGTAAACTTATATATAATTGATATACAGTCATATATTAATAATGTAGTATCGCAAATTAGTAACACAAAAAGCACATAATCATTTTCTCAAAATAAATCAAACAAAATCTCAAGAAACCTTTGCTTGAACTCTGGCTTTTATAACATAGTCTGATGAGATTTCCTCACCCTTTAGTATCTGGCTTTATGTAGAAGCAAAAGTTTCAGACTTCCTTACCTGCTTCCAATCTACCTCACCTTGCCTCACGTTCTTATGGTCTCCTAGCTAAATTTCTAACTCCGTTTATCCATTGATGTGAATTGTTTCATTGTCTACTATCAGTTTCTTCACTGCCGTGATCTAGAGTATAGTGTCGTCTCCATGTGTTTGAGTAGGTGAAAGTGAAACCAGTGTGAAAAAAAAATCAGGGTATTGTGATATTTAAGGGTAATTTTGTTTTTTGTATCAAAGGTAAATTAAAAAACGACCATTATCATAATTTAAGAAAAGATGGGTTATTAATTTTATTTAGTTATATAATATTGGCTAAATTTACTAAAGCCTCAAATTTAATTATAATTTAATTTAAATATATTTAAAATATAAATTATTGGAATTAAACTTATTTACATTAATAAATTATAATATATTATAAAATTTAAAATAAAAAACTTATTTTTGATATTTTTTATTTTTATTTTTATTAATATTAATTTTTGCATTTTATTTTTTTGAACCAAATTCTATAAATTTTATGAATCAAATTCTTCATAATATATACTTAACTTGCTCAATTAAAAAAAGTTTATGAACTTAATAAATTTAACTAAATTTGCATACAATTTGAATTTGGAAATTAATAAACACAATTTTATAAGTAAAAAATATAAAAATAATAAATTTAAAAATAAATTCACGAATTTAATTAAATTTATATTTAATTTAAATTTATAAATAAATTAACATAATTTTTATAAATTAAAAATATAAAAATATTAAACTTAAAAAATTAATTTAAAAGTTTGACAATTGTGCCTTCCACAACCTGCCTCACCCACACATTCTCAATATTTCAACGATCGTAATTAAACGTAAAAACTACCATGGCAAAATAATTAGATGTAGGCCCCAGACAACGCAACACGCCAATTCTAATAAATAAGTCTCACTATTCATGATTTATTAAAAATATGATATGATATGATGCGACTAGATTTTTTTAAAAAATGCATTTATTATATGCTTCCTCCTGTCCCTGTCAGCATAAGGTTCTCTAATCATTTTATTAAAATTTCATTAATTTTATTTAAAATATAAATAATTTGTTAATTTTATTTATATTTAAATAAAAAAATTTAAATTTGAATTATAATTTCTCTCATAATTAATAATTTTAAATAAGAATAATGTTAAAAAATAATTAATATATCCCAATAAATTTCTTTTATCAAATGCCATCAAGGATTAAGGAAGTATTTTTTAGAAAAAAGAAGTAATTATTTCAAACATTAACTATCCTCTTTTATTATAGACAAGTTTTTAATTATTGTGACTCGTAAATTCACATTATTCTTTTGGTTTTATTTACAGGATAGAGAAAGAATATTTATTTTAATTCTATTTATAAAAAATCTTAATGATTATTATGTTCATCTTTATAATTTTGCCCTTATTAATTGTAAAAG